GTCTGTTGTATACATTCTTAATGAAAAGAAAGTCGTTATCTTAGTTAGAAGCTAATAAAAATGTCAAATATGTTTTCACATCCATATTCAAGACCACTGGAATCCTATAAACATTCACATAGGGGGCTTTATCCCCAAGTCATTAGCCCAAGTTTTATGCAAGTGTTTGCATATTATTTTGCAAACACTGTGAGGGGGGCTCAACTTTTTACATATGCCTTACATATATGAGCTAAAATTCTCTACAAAACTAAATATTTTCAGTATTTGAAGAATCATGTGTATACACTAATGATCTAAAATAGAACATATATTATTTTTCTCCTTTACACTTAATTCAGTTTTTTAACTATTAGTTTTATTTCTTTGTCACGGTTCTATAAATAAATATATATACAAGTATTCCTTATTTACAACTGATATTTTAAAAATTACCACTTGTTTTAGAGTTTCTTTTCTCCTTTAAATAAATCAAATTGAATTAAATGGGAGCAGATTTTCAAAGTAAAATTTAATGAATCCACACTTCATTATTTGGCAAACATTATTTGGAACTAACTCATAATTGAATATATTAAAAACTTATCAACAATATCCAGATATGGTGTGTTTTTAAAAATTTCTATGTGCAACTGTATTTGAAGACATTATGATTTCTTCCACATAGTGAACACAATTTCTAGTTCAAGTTTGGATACTTTGAAGTACAAGAAACATTTAATAATATTATTCTTCATAACTTAAAAATTAGGCTTGAACGAACTCATAAATGTAAACATTTAGAATAATATTATTATTTGCAGATTATGTCCCGATAAATAAGTAGAATTTAAGTTTCTTTCCAGGGAAGAACATATTAATCTATAGGAGGAGAGATCCTTAGTGTGTTAACGCAAGTCTCCGGAAAATAATTTTGCAGGACAATGTGATAGGACAAGTATTAAAGCAAGGAATTCATAGTTTACTTTATCATCAACTCTTAATTGTAAGCAACTCATTTCTCCCAATGAGATCAGGTTTAATCATTTTAAAGAGACAAATATATGCTATTTAGTCTATGCAATAAAATTAAACAGCAAAAGAAAACAACAAAAATCCTCAAGTAATATATTACTATATAGGAATTTCAGAAGCATACTGCATAATCAAAAGTGAGATTCTCACCTATTCCTGTCTTATATTTCCTAAAGAGTAGAAAGAATGACTACAAAATTTTTAAAATGTTTTTAATGCTCTAAACCAGCAGTTCTCAACCTGTGGGTCGAGACCCCTTTGGGGGTCGACCGACCCTTTCACAGGGGTCACCTAAGACCATCAGAAAACACATAAATATTTCACAATATATAATCACATATTGTTTTGTGATTACTCACTGTGCTTTAATTAGATTTGATTATGTTCAATTAGTAACAATGAAAATACATCTGCATATCAGATATTTACATTAGGATTCATAAGAGTAGCAACGAAAATAATTCTATGGTTGGGGGTCACCACCACGAGGAACCGTATTAAAGAGTCGCAGCATTAGGAAGGTTGAAAGCCACTGCTCTAAAGTCACAGTAAGTAGATTCTGACTTATAAGGACGCGATGGGGCAAAGTTGAACTGCCCTAGTCTGCTTCCTGGGGTTGTAAATCCCCTGAGGGAGGAGAAAGCCTATCTTTCTCCACTGGAACAGCTAGTGAGTTTCAGCTACTGACTTTGTGCTTAACATCTCAACTGGAAACCGACCCCTCCTCCAGCAGAGCTCCAATTTTAAGGTTACTGAAAAAATTCTATAGTAACATTCTACTCACATACATCCTTTTTAAATTACAAATCATGTAATGGAAAAGCGATACTATTTTACAGTTAACATACTGGCTATATTGATTAACTGCATAACATATTCTGTCTTACTATCATTTGATTATAAATAAAATATTAGAAAACATCAATAATTAAATTGGAGGCAGGAGTTTATTTGCCCTCTTGTATTTTAGTATTAAGCCCTTCAATTGAAAAAACAAACAAACCAGGTGATCTAATTCATGTTTAGGCTTCATTCCCAGGTCAATCTGACTAGTGTGCAAACAATTGTGGGATGAACGTGCTCTGCTCCCATTTCAAGCCACAGAACTGCAGACCTGTTTGATGCAGAAAGATTTTTTTCCTCCTAAAAGTTTTTCATAAAGGGATCTGATATCAAAGTCTAACTCTTTTTTGAGGTTAATATTGGTGTACCCTGATACTAAAAACCCAATATAAAAGCATTAAAGCTTAGTATTAATGAAAATAAATACCTTTATATTTAATATACATAATTAGTGTATAGCACGGTAATTTTACAGATTTCATTTAATCCTCATTCCATAATTTCATATGAGAATGCAGAAGCTTAAAATGAGTTTCACTATCAGCGGCCGACTACTATAACAATGACATTAGAGTGAGACAGACCTAGTTTTGTACCCCATCGCTAATACTCTACTCCTCACTACGTAGCTTTGGGCAAGCTGCCAGAGCCTCAGGTTAGTTATCTACGTAATAAAAAGAAAATTCTTTTTTTTCCTTATTTTATTTTTTTTCTCTTCTCCCCCTCCCCAATAAAATTATTTTATAGTATTGCTTTAGGATAAACTGTGACCAAATATACGAATTACTTGACATTATCCCCAGAATACGGCATCTTAGGAAAACGATCTCTACCATTTACACTTAACCTTCAGCAAACTACTCAATCTCTTCACCTCTTCAGTTTTAGCTATCAAATGCTGGTAACGATACTTACTTTCTTTACTTAATTATAATGAAATGCATAACAATCCATCATATAAATGTATACATATGCTAAATTTAAAGCAGCACACAACTAATAAATGGTAAAAATTTAACCAGGAGTTAAAACTTCCCCTTTGATTCCTCTTAATTTTAACACAGGTATCCTTGAGAAGAATGGGAAATTTGTTCATGCAGAATGTGTAGGTATACAAACAAAGGAATACTGCATGGTTTGAACATCAAGAAAGGTATACGTCAGGGTTGTATCCTCTGAATTATGCTTATTAAATCTGTGTACTGAGCAAATAATCAGAGATACTGGATTATATGAAGAGGAATGCAGCAGCTAGATTGGAAGAAAGCTTATTAATAACCTTCCATATTTTAAATTTTTTCTTCATTCATATAGGGGTTTATCTTAGATGTATTTTGTCATTGGGGGTGACCCTCTTGAATTTTTGTTATATGTTTTTCTGTCTTCAGTACATGAAGCCCAGGATTGATGAACCTTTAAAGGATAGCAAATAGAATGAGGGTTTCGGGGTAGTCCAGTGGTGGTGGGGGTGGGGTGGGCATGGGAGGAAAAAAGGGAACTGATATCAGTAAGTTCAAGGAGGAAAATAATGTTTTGAAACTAATTGTGGTAGCAATTATACAACATGGCTTGATGTGACTGAAATATGGAATGATATGATACCTGTATTAACTCACAATAAAATGGCTTTTAAAATAAATACATATAATTTAATTTTAATAAAGTTAATTAATAATTTAGTTAATTACAAAGTTTGCAGTTGTCAGGATTTCATCTTGCTTGGATCCATAACCATACTCAGGAAGCAGAAGTCAAGGGATCAAAGAATGCATTATAGTGTACAAATCTGCTGCATAAAACCTCTTTAAATTATTGAAAAGTGGAGGATGTTACTTTGAGGACTAATGTGTTCCTTATGTGATAGATAGATAATCTGGAGTCAACTTGGGACTTGAGAGGATTAAGAGTGGAGTCTACCTGTCAATAGGGATATAGCCAATGAGGCCTCTCTGTGGGCATGGTCTTCTGGGAATTTCTGGATATCCTCATTGGAGGCCAAAAACACTCTCTCTCTCTCTCTCTCTCTCTCTCTCTCTCTCTCTCTCTCTGCTCACTCTCTTGGAGACACTCTACTGACAAGACACATGGTGCTATGTCCTGGGAGCTGAAGAAGCCACATGGACCTACCCTGAAGCAGCCCTGGGAACTGGAAGAGCCACATGGAGACCCCTGCCAGCGCAGAGATGCTTCTACCTTCACTGACTTTGCACACACTGGCCTGTGATCGTCCTATATTCAGTGTCATTGCATGTGTTTCGTGAGTATGAAGAGGACTTCACAGATTGGTATCAGACATATGGGATAATATTGGACTTATGGACTTGATCTGGACTGGGATGTGTCCTCAATTTCAACTGCCCTTGTATATAAACCTCTTTCTTATACACATATGAATCTCCCTGGATTTGCTTCTGTAGTCTATCTAGACTAACACACTTACCAAACTCATGGTGTTTTCAGTCACCACATATGCATGTGAAAATTGGACACTGGATAAGGAAAACCCAAGACAAATCACTGTATTTGAATTATGGTCCTGGTAAAGAATATTGAAAGTACCATAGCATACCAAATGAACAAAAAATTTTGTCTTGCAAGTAGTACAGAATGTTCTTTGGAAGCAAGTATTGTGCAATTGTTATCAGGAGAGAGAAGTCCCTGGAAAAGGACATCATTCTTGGTAAAGTAGCAGGGCACTTGACAAGATGGATTCACACCGTGGCAGCAACAACGGGCTCAAGTATAAGAATCGTGGTGATAGCATAGGATCAAGTGAGGTTTCACTCGATTTTACATAGAGCCGCTATTGCTCGGAATTGACTGCACTCCACAACATAGAACAGAGAGGAAGTTCTCCAAAGGGTTTTGCAGACTATCAATATGTACAGGATCATATAGTCTCTGTAGACTATCAATATGTACAGGATCAGATAGTCTCATCTTGCTCCAGTTGGTGTTACTGAGTTTCTGAACTGGAAGATAATTTACTATATCATCAGGCTCCTTATTAATACAAATAGATGTGCCTAATTCTTTTATATAAAACTAGAAGAAAAATAATTTCCTCACATCTCCACGGAGAAAGGCAAGAATTTAGAAATATCTGTTAAATATGCATTTTAAAATGGAAGTATCTAAATTACCTGAATTAAGGCCTCACTCAACATGTCTTCATTAACTTCCAGAATAATGTTTCTTATATCTACATAGGGCATGCGGTATGATCCAAGGAATATAGCTACAATAAAAAGGTAGAAGAACAACAAAAGTTTAAAGTCTTTATTTCCTTTTTAAGGCATGAAATATGAAATTTCTGTCATTAATATTTACTTTCAAACATATGAACAAACAAAAGCAATTGCAATTTGATGACTACTCGACTTATATATAAAAAATGTCCTATTATCACGGGCTTTACTGTTTACAGATCATTAATATTAATACAGAAATAAAAGCCTATTCCTAACACTCTTGAATATATACTTATGCATTTTAGATTGAACTGATAAAAAATAGCCAATGAAAACTCAGAAATTTTATTTTCAAGTTGGCATTTTACCTCACTTTCAAATTTATTATGGAGATTATTAAGGATATAAAATACAATACTTTCCAGGAACAAAAATATACTAATTAAATAAAAAATCGCGTAACTCCACTTTGATATCTCCCATAAGAAAATGGTGGTCTACATAGTCAATACTCTATCTCTCTGAAGTGGTATAGTATTAGTGCTCTATATGTTTCAATACAATTTCTCTGGTCAAGTTGTTCTTAATAGCATATGGATTAATTATATAATGTTGGAGTAACTAAAATAATTAAACCTGGAAAAGCATATTCAGAAAGCATTTTCCAAGAACATATCTCATTTTAATTTCCATTAAAAATACCCTTGAAAGAACATACAAGCCCTCATAAGCACTCTTCCTAATCAAGAAAATACTACTTACACAAATTCTGCGCAGTTTTGGGATCTATAATTCGCAATTCCTTCTTTTTTTTTGGAGGCCCAGTCTTCTTTTCTTCGGAAGCATCTACATTCTTCGGAGCTGCAAGAAAAATGTTGATTCATAAACAAGAATGGTACTAAGCCAAGTACATGGAATAACATTAGTAAGGCATATTAACTACATTATAAAGCTCATTCTGAAATCAATAAATGTATTTATTTCATTAGTTCAAAGAAGAGGAAAACAGAAAAATATAGACCTGCTTAAAGGTTTGTCTGCAAATTAAATATCAGCATTTAAGCAGTACAGATAAGCCAAATAGGACCAAAAATCAATTGCTGCTTTTTACCTAATGTGTAACATTAATTACTTCTTTACCAGATACCTATACCAGCACTAAAATAAAACATCTAGCAAAATATCCCTCATTTGGGTTACTTCAGGGAAAAGCAGACATTTGTTTATCTACAAATGTGCTAAAATTCATGCATTTATTTAATTCCGCAAAATTGCTTCTACATCCTTAAGCTAACTCAAACAGCAAACAAGTTGCTGCATTAACACTGCTGCTGAGATGGCTTTGAAAATCAAGTATGAATTATTTGCAAATTCCATAGAAGTGGCACTAATTAGGATATGCATAGTTAAGTAACCTTAACACATCCTCTACCACCACACATAATACTATCATGTCGATTCTGACTCATGTTACTCTACCGGACAAAGTAGATCTATTCCATAGGGTTTCCAAGACTATAACTCTTTACAGGAATAGACATCCCCATCTTTCTACTTTGCAGTGGTGAGTAGGATTGAACCACTCACCCTTCAGTTACCGTCATAACACTTACTCTGTGTCACGAGGCTATATCTTTGATCAGCATATTTTAACTCACTGCATCTCCTCTAAGGTTTCTGTTGTCTGCTATGTACATACCAGTTGTTTTAGCTCTCAATAAACAGCTTCCACGCTCAACCACTGCAACCTCCAGGGCGGAACAGCTTATAGTACCTCAAATATAATGTCTTAGCAGCATGTAGATTTGTCACACACATATTGTATACTGTTCACTTTCTTAGAACACAATATAATATTTGGTTCATTCAGAAGGCAACACTCTATTTCAAAACAGTTACAGTCACCTAAAAGTTTAAAATGGCAGTATCAACAGTATTAAGGAATGGCTTGTGGCCTCAATAACCATCATTGCGATTCATTCCAAATAAGCCAGCCCCCAAACAAAATAAAAATAATGTGCCTGTATGTTATAAAACTCAAACTTAAAATCAAATCTCTAATCCTCACCTATATAGAAATTCTAAAACTACCAATGCAGTCAAATATTGGTAGCTTACTCCTTGGCGTAGCAGGTTATGCATTGAGTTGCTTGCTAACCAAAAGATCACCAGTCTGAACCCATCAATTTCTGAGAGAAAAGTAAGCTTTCTGCTCCTTTAAAAATTTACACACTGGGAAGCCCACAGGGGCGGTTAGACTCTGTCCTATATGGATTACTATGAGTTATAATTGATTAGATTTGAGTGAGTGAGTGAATATAAAAATAAGCTTTTACATAGCCTCAGTCTCTCACTACCATCCAGTCAATGCTGACTCATAGAAACCCCCACTGGATTTCTGAGACTGTAATTGTGTATTGGAGGAGAAAGCCCAGTCTTTTTCCCCTCTGAGATGCTGGTAATTTCAAACTGCATACCATGGGGATCGAATAGAACGGCGAAGCATGAAGCCACCAGAGCCCCTTGTATATACTAGGAACATCACTGAATACGAGAAAAGTAACCAAAGCACAGCCCACTGCCACAACCTTTAGGAACCCTATAGGACAGGTCAGATGTACTCCATAGGGTTTCTTTAAAGAGGCAACCAGCCAAATGTTTCTCCCTCAGACCTGCTGGTAGGTTCAAATTCTTTACCATAGGGTTAGCAGCCCATTACACCACCAGGGTTCCTTGAGAAAAGTAAAGCCACCAATTTTTTCAATCAAGTAGTGTAATATGATCTTGCCTCCAAAGGTAAGCTGCCAAATCTCATCACTGGACCTGATCATGGCATGTCTTTATGACTATTAAAATGTATCTTCACTTGGAGATAATAATTATTTTTAATATTTTAATTCGTCAAATTTTTGTCAAAGCAATCACAAATGAGGTATTTTTAATTAAACCATACCTACTCTTCTGCTACTCAAATTCACAAATTTAACATTAAGATAAGAGGACTGACGCATCTAAAATATATTGCTTGGGCTTTTGAACAATACTATGTTTTCTGTTATTTGACTTGGTTTAAATGCTGATTCAAGAAGTGAAGCTAAGAAATCTTTGAGTAGACACGTTGCTTCTAAGAATAACTGCAGCAAAGTCAGTTCAAAATAGCCCTTTAACTAGTTAGTCTTTCAAAAACAATCATGTTTCAGCTGTGATTTAAGTAGATATTGACCACTGGCTGTAATTGTTTCAGGCCTTCTTTATAAAAGCATCCCACAGAGATCACAATTGAAAGCATAAATAAATAGAATGTAAACAGACACATGAGACATCTAACTTCTACCCATAGTATTAAGGCTTCATATGTTAAAAACCACCTGATTTTACTCAGGCTACAAATGCTATTTGTGCTGGGATGTTTCTGTAGTATATGTTCCAAATGCTTACAAAACTTACGGTATACAGGCTATAGAAATTTTCAATTTATTCTATCCGACATGGATAGAACTAAATAATTTTGTTTTATTTCTAATACTTCAAATAGAAAGATCTGAACCTTTTTTCTTTTTAAAAAAATGTAAATCAATGCTGTAGGACTCTCAGGTCCACAAGGGGATCTCCAGTCACATACAATCTTTACCAGTATAGATGAAAAATCATATAGCAATTGAATTCTATCCAATGAAATGAAATAATTTGAGTACTTGAAATTGGGGCTACTATAAGAATAATAATAAACATTATAAAATTTTGTCTTTAAAAAATAACAATGCTTAATGAATGTACAAATGTGCTTTATACAATTGATGTATGTATGGATTGTGGTAAGAGTTGTGGGGGCCCCCAATAAAATGATTGAAAAACAAAACAAACAAACAAAAAAAACCAATGGTAATAATGAAGTCATTTTTATTATTAGATATGTTAACATCAAGGCAAAACTTATCTAAGATAAAATACCAGCTGAAGACTCTTATATTCCCATTAATACATAAATATTTTTGCATGCGATTGCACTATAAATTTATTCCTTTACAACTGAGGGTTGTTCACCAGAATATCTAAAGTAAACACGGTTATATTACTGTCCCAATCTATTTTAGGCAATGTTCAGGAATCCTCTATAATTTATGCTATCCCAGTGGATACATATAACATGTAACAATATGTTTGCAATTGTCAAAAATATTAAAATATTTTAATTAGGTAATGTTCAAAGATTTACATAGTGATGAAGTACAAATCACAGTAAAATTTTTATAACTTATTTATTTCAAATTTCCAGTCAGATACCGAGCCCTAAAGTTATCCTCAATACTAATCACTCTTTCATGCAGCAAATATTTGTTGAAACTCCATTTGTTAGTCTAAGATAAAATTAGAACATAGGACTTAAATGTGTACTGCGTACCTTTTCTCACTGCACTTCGTTTTTCTGCATTTCAGATAAAGTGGTTTGTGACAATCATGCACTGGGCAAGTCTGGCGCCATTATTATAACAGAATGTGCTCACTTCATAACTATGTCACATTTTGACAGTCTCACAATATTTTAAAAGTTTTTGATAATACAACTGTACACTTAACAGACTACAGAATAGCATAAACATAGCTTTTATACTCACTGGGAAACAGAACACATTGTTAGAATATCTCTTAAGTATGGCTCTAAATGTGTCTTTTAAATAAGTGGTTATATGTAAATTAATAATTCTGAAATTACCTTCAAATCTATATAATATTTCAAATTTTGTTTATAATTATTTCATTTGGATGAATAATTGTTTTCATACAATGAATTATCTTTTTGTTACAAGAAGCTATAATTTGCTATTAGAAAATTTTTGAAATAACAGCATAAGTTGTAAATCATCATATTGGAAAACATATTTGAAGAAGTATACTTCTTACTGACTACATGCTGTACTAAGCCTGGATGAAAAATGCTAATTTTAGTATGCTAAAACCCTATTTTAATTGTATGTAGTTTCATAAATTCATATATTTAGATGCAACAAGTAAATTCCTAGCTATTCTTTCAAATCAGAGAAGAATTTATTATCTCTATGTATGTAATTCAGTAGTATAACCATGTAAACACAATTTTAAAGATATTGCCATGAATGTATAATTTTAAAGATCTTAGAACTATATAGAAATAGGCTTTCACATGTTATTAGAAAAAATAATGTTGAGTGTCGTAGGTTAAATCTATTATTTCAGTGAGATTCTGGCCATTGGTTTTCACGTAATTGTTCATATCTACCACTTTTTGAATAACTTTTATCCTTACATTTCTAGAAAAAAACTATGAAATCCAATGTAAACAATCAGCAAAGAATATGAGTGCAATATTTATGCAAAATGCACAAAAGGCAAGTGCCATAATAAGCAAGACTAGTCATCCTAATCACAACTACAAATACCACAACCACCACATAGATTGTGACCTGGATAGCTCAGTGGTATCCATTGACCTACTAATCACAAGGTCAGCAATTTGAAACCATCAGCTGCTTCGAGGAGCGAGAGGAGGCTGTCTACTCTCCTAAACAGTTACAGTGCAGTAACGCCACAGGGTTGTTTCTGCTCTGTCCTAGAAGGTTGATTTCACTACATGGCAGTGAGTTTGAGTTCTCTTCTCTGTGTATCACACTAACTAACCTTTGCGTCATCGTTCATGATAGATATTAGAAATACATCATGATAAATGAGACAAATAAGGAGCAAAAACATCGAGCATTTGCTCAAGATTATACAGCTAATAATGAAATTATTACTAACCATAAGGCCAAGAGTTCCAAACTACCAGTTGCTCTGTGGGAAAAAGGATGAAGTTTTCCACTCCTGTGAAGATTTAAACGTCTCAG